TAAAAAGTAAATTAATAATTGTTGTCAGTGTTGTCACACATACTGGTAAAATATCTTTCTCTAAAAATTAGGGCAAATGGCCCAAATTCTAAATGAGAGATCTCTGTGTCTGTTTTTACCTTTGTGTCTTTTGTCTCGAGAGTGTTGCCAGTTTAAAATGGTGCCATTATATATTCTAAGATTGATTTATGTATGCATACAAGAGCTGGCATACAGGCCAGAGATGCAGGGAGTGAGAGGATTCACCAGAGATAGAGCAGGGAGCAGAAAGGTCGATTGACTGAAATACACTGCTGAGGGAGCAAGTAGGTGAGACAGGAGAGGTCTGACTCGCCTTGTGGGTTTCTCCCTGGCCAGCTGGGGATCGAACTCATGCTGCAGAGGCTGTAGATTGCTTCACAGTGCGATGCTTAACCCCTTGCACCACCGGGGAGTCCATCACAAAAACGAGTTCAAAATGCAATGGTTTAATTAAAGCACTGGTGAGCACCTTCATTGATGTTTCCTCCCCTTGCCCTAGCAAAAAAAAAAAAATAATTAATTAACAAAAAAAAAAAAACCTCTGGTACATGAATTTGTTTCATTTGTAATGCTGCATTTTGAACTTCGTATCCTAACAAAAACTAAATCTACTTCTGGTTTCTCTATCTTAAATCTGTTCTATTATTATTTAATATTTTATAGGAATATTTCTCTTATAAAACTAAGGATCTCCTAAGTTCAATAAAATGAAAACTTGACTACTTAATGAGGTTTTGGTTTATATTTTGCTTCTTAATGTAGGAAATCTAAACTTTATCATTTCACCTAAAAAAAAAAAAAAAGACGTGTTTATGTATGAGTTCTGAGGTGAAAAATGTGAGCCTGAGTTGTTCATTAGCCAAAGTTATGTTGGACAAGGCCTGGGTGTGGACAAAAATTTCCGGGAGTGACTGACATAGTTTCTCTGGCCAGCCGCCCAACTTGTGGCAGGGCAGCGCCCCCTGGCGGCGACGGGGGGACGGCTGGAGGGGGGCAGGGCCGGGCTGGGGGAGTGCAGGCAGGTGCCTCAGCCACTGAGGTCGCTGCTCAGAGACCCCGGGGACCTCACATCAGCCGCCCTGGGCCCTGGACGCCTCGGAAGTCGTGGACACGGCGGGCCTGACCTCGAGGCCAGGTCTGCGCGGGGGTCTCTGGCCCGTCCCCCAGGGGGCCGCTGCGGCGGGGCCGAGAGTCTGCGAGCAGTGGGCGCGGGTGCGACCCTGTCCTGACACCCTGGGGATGCCCGTGTTGTCCCAGGAATATTCTCTCTCCACCTAGAGTGCAGGAGGCAGACTTGTCAGAGGCAAGAGGTCGGGGTGCTCCTCTGGGGGTGGGCGCCAGGAGAGACCTGCCCCTGCCCCTGTCCGCCTCTCTGCAGGCGGCTGCCCTGTGCGTGGACAGTGCCCGCGTCTCCATGGTCCATCTACAATGTCACGTGTGGTCTTTTATTCCCGTCCGCATTTTCACTGACATTAATTAAAAATAGCAAATACACGTCTGTGTGTAAATTCTATCCCTTCTTCATGAAATACAGCCCCTCCACCCATTCTAGAGAGGCCATGGCCTGAGAAGGTCAGAGTGAATGACCTTCACTGTGGAGCACTCCCTGGGACACCCCGCGGGATATCGGACTGGATTCGGGTTGGGTGGATTCGCTCTGGATTCGGACTGGATTCGCTCAGGTGAGAGTAGCTTTAGATTACCTGTGTGGGAGCCTCTGCTCTGTGTAGCAGGGTTGGGGTACACACTGAATAGCAAGCAGGAGCGCCCGGAGACCCAGGATTGTGAAAACTAACGAGGAAGAGCAGCTGAAACACTTCTCACTAAGCACTAATTGAAGAATCAGAGATTCAATCACAGAACTTGGAAAGACAGATGGCTTCGATGCAAATAAACTATGTTTTCTCCTGAGTAGATTTACACCTTAAAGTACCATCAACTGGCAGACACCCCAGCTCGGGTGCATGTCCTCTGTTCGGATCAGGCCCTGCTGTCCCTTTGCCCCAGTTCGGCCCAAGTGACCCTCCTCCCTACTTCCTGTGCACATGTGGAGGCTCCCAGTAACATCAGGAATTCCCACTTAGCACTGATCAGGGCTGAGGACTGACACCCTGGGAGGTGTGACAAAACCATCAGGCTAGATCTGGGAAAAAATTATATTTTGGTTTCCCATTCAATTTAAAAAATGTAGGCTCTGGCCTGCCTGGTGGTGCAAGGGGTTAAGCATCAGCACTATGATGTAATCCGTAGCTACTACATCAGGAATTTGATCTCTGGGAAAGGAGGTGACCCACATGGCAAAGCAGACCTCTCCTCTCCCCCAAAGCTCCCCTAAGCAGTGTATTTCTGTCAGTTGCCTATTCTGCTCCCTGCTCTCTCTGCGGAATCCTCTCAGCCCAACACCTCTGGCCTGTACCCCAGTTCTTGCATGCACAAATAAATAAGAATTTTAAAAAATAAAAAAGTAAGCTCTTTGCCTTTTGACAGGAGACAGTGGCTCTGCAAGTGGATATTGGAATCAATCAACCCTGTGTGTATATACAATTATTCCCCACATATATCCTTGTTTATTCCTTTCTGTAATTTCAGAAAATGAAAAGAGAGCCATTAATGTATCTTCAAATTTCTGAAGATTACAAAGTATAGGGTCCCTCCTGGTGATGCGGGGGTTAAGTCTCAGTACTATAAATCTATCCATGGCCACTGCAGGACAAGTTCGACCCTGTCCAGGGAGCTGAACCACATGGCTCATGGGGGTGGTACAGCTGCCCTCAGCAGTGTATTTCAGTTGATCTGCCTGTTCTGCTCCCCACTCTATCTCTGGTAAATTTTTCTCACTCCCTCTAACGCTGGCCTACATCCCAGTTCTTGTAGCATAAATGAATAAAATAAATATTTTAAAAAGATTATAAATTACAGCTTAGCACAAAGGATAAATAAAATATAACTTTTATAACAAAATTAACTCCAAAATCCAGCTAGCTCTTTCTTTTGTTAAATCATATTTTAGAGTGTGTTTAGGGAAAAAAAATCACCAGAAAGGATCTATAATCATCAAACACTTGAACATAACCTGATTCCAGTAAAGTAGTAACAGGCCATCTGTCACTTTCAGTGTTTCTGTGGCATCCCTATTTGTGGGTGTCTGTGTCACATGTGGTAATATCCTCTATTCCTATGGGGTGATCACAAGATTTCCATGGAACAGGGGCAGTTGGTTGATGTCAATGAAGTAGGGGACACATATTCTAGGTTTGCTCTGGGTGCTGTATCTGTTGCGTGCAACTGGGTAAATAGCACATTAAACAGGATGTCACTGATGGCTAGAGTCACTTGGATAGTTGAGGAAACGAGAGTAATTAGAAGTGGTGAGCTGCCCTTCCTGGGTTAAGGGAAGCCTCACTGTTGAAACACCAGTGTGCAAGGGTCCAGGATAGTATAAACGTGAAATTTCTGAATGAGTAAATTAACTTCATTAACTGGGTGAAGAAACACAAGGCCACACTATCGTAATCTTCTTCTCTGACTAAGCACAAATGTGTGGCTGTCATTACAAGTGTTCCCCCTGCCTTTCAGGACAGTTCTTCACCTAAGTTTGCCACTAAGTGACACACATGATTAACACCTGATTTCAATTTTGTCTGGTATCTAAAATTTAAATCAGTCATATGTTCATTTTATATCTTGACTCTTTCACTCAACGACATGTAGGCAAGGTGACCCACATATTGGATTTAGCTAGAGTCTCTGTATTTTCGCTGTTGCATAGTATTCCACCGAATGCAAAGTAACTACATCCTTCTGTTATACATGCACAGTATATTATTTCATAAAATTTTATATCCACGCTGGAATAACACTATATTTGCAATTTTATATTGTTTCTCTTTCATTTAATGTTATAAGTATTTTCCAACTCATTGATAACTATTCAGAATGATTGTACCTAATTGCTACATTTACTGTCACATATTTGACTGTTTCCTGGAGTTCTGTTGGAGATTGTTTCCTGTATTAGTACAAGAACGTGCTGGTTAGCATTTTTACGGATATACATTTTTATTTGTGTTCACAGCATTTCCTTAGGTCATTTCTCAAACACTGCATTACTATTTCTTTTAATGCACATGCATATATATAATATTCCAAATTCTAATAGCTGAAGTCTAAGTTCCCCACAGAAGGACGATACACAATTTTGCTGAATGAGCGACAACCCCTATTTCAGCAGGTTCTTGCCTCCACATCATTCTGTCTCCCCATCTTGAAGGCTCAGATGTCACACACTCCGCTTCGCTTCCTACCCTCCCTCTGCGCGGGCCTCCCCCCTCCACCACTCGCCATGATTGCGTCTCTCCTTGGCCAGGCTGACCCGCCCCTCGGCCATGGCTCCATCCCCCTGCACCTCTGGCCAGGCCTGGGGCCTCTGCCCACCATTCTCCAGCCTGGGCGGCACTGCCCCCCCCAGTCACTAGGCGGCGCGCGCCGCGTCTCCTTCCCTGGTTACCCCGCGAGCCTGTCCTTCCGCGGCCTCGCCCCGCCCCCTGCGTGTTGACGTCACGTCCCTGCGTGCTGACGCGGAGTGGAAGTGGCGGAGACGCTGGGTCCAGAGCACCCACCCTGGGGAGCAGGCCCGGGGACAAGGAGGGAGCAGCCCCGGGGGCCGCGCGCAGGCGGGGAGCGCGCCGGCTGGGGGCGGGGAGAGGCAGGGAATAATGGGGGGCGGGACGCCCCGTCTCTCCCTGTGGGGGCAGCGGGTTCGGGCCTGTGGGGTCGCGGGTGAACGATCCTCGCGTGTTTTCAGTCACGGGGCGCGACTTGCTGTGGAGTCGCGTGGAAATTCTACGTTAACGGCGTCGTGGAGACGCGGGGTGTTCGCCTCCGTTTAGTTGGGTTTTCTGAGCTTCAGCGCAGCAGGACTGGCGGGGGCGCCCCGTGAGCCCCCGGGTTCTCCCGCTGGCCCGGCCCTGGGCCGCCCCGACACCCGCCCCTGCCGCCCTGGCCCTGCGCCCGCTCCCGCCTCCCCCGCTGCTGGGGTCTCCTCGGCACTCGCTGCTCCAGACTCGGGGTGAAGCTCTTGCCTGCGGGAGCCCAGTTTCTTCAGGAGCCACCCGGAGCAAGAGGGAGGTGAGGACAAGTCGCTGCCGGTGGCTGGTGCAGGGGGGCCAGTCAGGGGACCCGGGGCGGGGCGGCTGGGGGTGCAGAGCTCTGCGCGGGTCATTTTGGGTCCTGGAAGAACGTGGGGGTCAGGTCGTTCCTGAGTGTGACCCCGTGGTGGCCAGCGCCCCTGACCGAAAGTGCGTCCCCCGTGTTTGCTCCCAGCGCTTCCCTGCTGCACTGGTCACCCCTGGGGTGGGTTTGCCGGGCACACCGCTGTGTGCCACTTATTTGTGTGCTTAATTTCTGTGAATTTAGAATATAATTTGGGGAATTATAAGTTTACATGTTGTAATTTTCTCTGGGGCTGACACCCCCTCCCCACCCAGGTCCAGCAGGCAGGAGGGCAGTCGTGTCCCAGTCTTCCCAGGGCACAAGTTCTTACCCAGGCGGTTGCTGGCACCTGGGGCTCTGCATTTCTCACAAGGGGTCTGAGATGCTGCCCCTGCTGGTCTTGGGCCCGCATGTGAGGGCTGCAGTGCTGCTTCCTTGTTGTGCAGATGATGTGGTCATTCAGAGCCTGGAAGAGGGACCTTGGACCCCTGGACACTGCCTCAGGAGGTGACTTTACACTCTCCCTTGAAGAGAATCCAGGCTTTCCTGAGTCTTGAGTGACCAGAAGCCACACAGCCTGCCACAAGCTGGCTACAAGTGTTTGGTTTTCTAAAATGGGTTATTATTAACCGATCCATGCAGTGAAAGCAGTGGCCCTCTCTGTGTCACTAAAGGACACACCCCAAGAAACCATTCAGCAGGGTCAGCTGGGCACTGTCACAAACAGGGACAGAAATTTTCTCAATGGGGAGTTTTATTGTCTTTTTATTGTATTTAGTTGTTTTGATTTACAAAGTAATTATGGTCTCAAAAATGAATTGGGTTACACATGAGAGGCCATACGGAGGCAGAGTGAAGACACTGGGCTCACCGCCACCATATACTCACAACACTGTACAGGCCAAATTGATGCCACAGAAAGAGAAATGGGTGACACACACCAGGAGAAGTGACCAGTGGCAAGAAACTGGGAAAACTTTAACTGACCTGCATCTACAGTTATACTGGAGGAGAATTAAACCCCTACAGTTGTGGACTCGGGGACACAAGCCACATTGGGGCCTTTGGAGACTCAGGACTTCCCTCAGCACTGGGCTCAACCCACTGGGCCATCTGGGAGGCCAAATATATGAAGACATTGTACCAATTCTCTACAGCTAGGAGTGTTTTTCTGATGGTAGAAGGTACATAAATACTTCATAGCTATAGAAGCACACACAAGCCACACTCATGTAGACTCACATGCACACACTTGCACACAGTTCAAGACATGCACATACACCTAAAGAAAACAGTGCAAATCCCTAATTCTGTACACACAGCTAGCTCTGCTTCACACTCCTGTCACACTGTCTTATCACCACGTGACCCCTCTGACTTTTCTAAAATTTTCAAAATGCTTTCCAAAATTTTCTAAATTTTCTAAACCTTTCACTGCTTATTACAAGAATGTTAAAGGAAATTTAGGTCTCTGGCGTCCGATGTGTTGGAAGTTTGGGTGCAGTCATAAATGGGAAGCAAACACGGTTGGTTTCATACACCATTTTAATGAGTCCTGGGGTAGACATTTTAACTAAATAATCCATTTCAGACTGTCTCCTCCAGGCGGAGAAAGAGCATCCAGATGCTTCCACGCCCCAGGGCCCTGTAGGTAGAGTGGGTCACATGGAGATGCCCCTGCAGTGGGAACCAGTGTGTCCAAGGTGGCCACCTCCTCGAGCCCTATTGGACCTGCGTGGGAAGAGCAGAGCCAGTGAAGCCCAGGCACAGAGGAGGCTCTTTCCTTAGTGACACCCCCCCGAGGAGTGCTGCTCGGACTCAGATGCGACAAAGTGCAGATGGAAACCAGGAAGACCTACCGAGGCATCACTCGCTGGCGGGTGAGCAATTCTCCAACTTGGAATCTCTGTTGTGAAAAGGGGCTCAGTAGAGGGGGACTTCCTACTGTGGATGTCAGTCCCTGACAGTGCCAGTAAGCCCGAAGAGCTCCTGCATCATCTGTGCCGTCCGGGTGCCCAGGGGCCACCAGCAGGGCCCTCACGGGATAGAGCCTAAGATGGGGAAGCAAGGCCCTGGGGTCCCAGCCTCTGGCCCTGGGGCCTCTGGAGGCTCAGCCCGCACAGCTCCACTCCCATCCTGGGCCCTGCACCTGCTCAGCTGCCCCAAACCCTCCTCTGCCCCCTTCCCCTGTTCTGCTCTCCTCCAGGTGCTTCACAAGTCCCATTGCCCTACCGGCCCTTCACCTGCTCTGCTCCTGGGACTGCTGTGCTTGCGGACATCTGTGCTCCACGTCTATGTTCTCATGCTGCTCCTGGCCCCTCTGGCTGGGCCCAACCCCTGACCCCTCTCCAGGGCTTTGGCCTCCGCTGCTGTGCTCATTTCACTATGGCCACTGAGTGGCTGCCCTGGAGCGGGGAAGTGAATTCTAGGGAGGTGCTGGTGATCATCTAATCCCCAGTAGGGTGAACGCTGCTCTTGTGTTTTCCTCTGAAGGGTGCACAGAAATAGCAACATTTTAAAATCCTATTAAGGATTCTTCTAGCTCTGGCCTTGTAGCCTCCAAGGGTGGACTGGGAATGGTTTTCATGGCCCAGTGTCTCTGCAGGGCCACCGGTGAGCTGAACAAGAGGCGCCTTCTTGGGGTTATTTGGGTGGTGCTGGAGAGCTGGGAGGCTGGGCTGGATGTCTTCCTAATGCTTTCCTGGCCCCCCTCCAGGTGGGGGCCTGGAAAAGTAGTGTTGGGGCCCAGAGCTTGCTCCTGCAGGGGGCCTGGAAGCGATGTGGTGTTGGGCCCCCATGCCTCCCACAGCACGGGCCCTGACTGGAGGCCATGCTGGGCTTCCAGGCATCTGGCATCAGGGTCCCTGAGCTGGAAACCGAGCTCTGAATGCTGGCGTCCTCCTGCGGGATGCCTTGCCCGGAGGTGGTGGTGGGCTTCTGGGCGTCCTGCTTCGGGGACAGTCCCACCCGCAATTTCTCAGGCCCCGAGACCTCAGGCTGCCAGTGGTCCTCCGGTATCGGGGCACAGTGGGCCCCATCAGGACTGAGGAGCTTTGGGGAGATGGTGGGGTCTGGCCCCTCCTCGTCCACCCGCTGCCTGGAAAGCAGCTTGAGGAAGGTCCCCATCACAGGGTCATACCTGCCCTCCAAAAGCGCCCTGTCGATGACCTCTTTCCAGAACCCCAGGCGGACCATTGCTTCCATTGTGTCCTTGTGCTGGCCCTGGGAGGGCTCCCGGCAGGGGAGTCCATTTGTCAGCCGCACCCAGGGGTGCTGGATGACACTGTCCAGGTTGCTGCCACTGAGGGGGTCAAGCTCATCATCTTCCTCAGCAGGTCCCGGCACACTGAGAGAGGTAGTGCGGCTCATGATAGACGCCGCTCAGCTCCCTGGCCCACAGCTCCCCGAGGCTGGTGCCCTTGAAGGGCAGCTTCCCGGTGACCATGTACTAGAGGACCACCCCCAGGCTCCAGATGTCCGCCTCGCGGCCACTGTACTCCTTGTGACGGAGAATCTCAGGGGCCACGAACTGCGGCTGCCACAGGGGGTCTTGAGCAGGGCTGCCTCAGAGAACTAGGCACTGAGCCCGAAGTCTGCCAGTTTTATAGTTCGGTGCTGGTCCAGGAGCAGGTTCTCCGGCTTCAGGTCCTGGTGCACAACACCCCTGGCGTGGCAGTGGCTGAGCGCTGCCAAGATCTGCTGGAAGAGGCGGTGCACCTCCATATCCCCCAGGCTCCCGCACTTCAACAGGCAGTCCTGCAGGTTGCCCTCCTGCACGCGCTCCAGGACCAGCAGTACCTCATCCTCAGTGTACAATACCTGGAAGAGCTGGAGAACGTTCGGTGCCGAAGGACTTTCATGCAGGCCACCTCGCGGGCCAGGAACCTCTGAGGCATGCCAGACATGGGGATGACCTTTATGGCCACCTCCATGCCCATTGACAGGTGCTGCACCAGCCTGACCTTGGCATGGGCACCCTCCCCCAGCTTGCGGAGCATCACTTACTTTCTCAGGGCCATTCCCTTGGCAGACGGGCGCATCTGGGCAGTGAAGGCGGACCCGCTCCTAAGCTGGCAGGCCCTGGCTGGCTAGAGCCCTCGGCACTAGCTCCGCTACCTGATTAACAAGTGCACTATTAGCCTAGAGCTAGTAGTACGTGAAAAGGATCCCAAAACTAGCTAAATGCTACCCGCGCTGACTACTCTACCGAAACAATAATGACACTAACTTACCTCTACCAGAAACACTAACTATGCTAACCTAACTAGGATACTAATACTAACTAACTATGCACTCAAAAATGAAAACACAACCAAAAAATTAACAAAGATAAATATTTAAAAATATATAAAAGAAACAATAACAAAGTAACCACTAAAGTTAACAAGAACACAGACAAAATGAACAAACCACAAGTGAACAATTACAAACTAACAACTAAAATAAAAAAAAAGGGAAAAAACACACAAAAAAATAACAGGAGGGAAGATGGGGAAAAAAAAATAATAAAATAATAAAAAGATAAAATAAGAAATAAAACAAAGGGAAAAAAACAAATTAAAAATAAAATAACTAAAATAAATAGCTATAATAAATAACTGAATAAGAAATAAACAAAGCAAAAGCAAGCCAATCCACCAACATGACTCTATCTCCCTCCGATTCCACCGTCACGATCCCAACACTCCTCGCTAAACCTACACCTCTGCGGGCCGTGCGGGGGCTTAAGTAGGCTCCGCGGGTGACATCACAGAGCTCTTTGTGGCGTCGGAGCAGAGGCCACGCCCCCGGCAGAGGGCACCCCGGGGGCCATTCAGCCTTCAAGGGACAGCACCCGCCAAGAGGTGTGTGGACAGACGCCCTGGAGACTGGAATCCACCCCGTTCCAGAAGCCCGCGGGGCGCTGGCGAGGCCGTGTCCTCTGTCGCGAGCACCTGTCCCAGGTTTCGGCTTTTAGGGTCTCTCCGCACAGTCCCCCCCAAACCCTGATGCGTCTCACATGCACGACACATCCACGGGCACAATAAACGACACCATGATGGGAGCATGAGACGCGACAGAGTCCGCTCTTCTCACCCCGACACTGAAAACTCTCTGGGACATGGTCCCCCCGTTTGGCCCATGAGCTGCATGTGCCCCTCGGCGTCCTCGAAGGCCGGAGGCCGGGGCGGCTCCCAGGGCGGCAGAGGCTGTAAAGTGGGCCCTGGAGGTGGTGTCCGCCCCAGCCCCCCGCAGTGCTGTGGGGACACCCCCTGACCTGACTCAGCCGGGGCTGGGGGCAGCTGGGGCTGGTCAGCTCCCCCCAAGATTTCTGGCTTGGAAATATCTGCGTCTGGGGCTCCCGTTGGCGCAGCGGTTTGAGCGCAGCACTGTGGAGCTGTCCGCACCTCTGCAGCACCGGTTCGATTCCCGGCCCGCCAGGCAGGCGAGCAGACCTCTCCTTTCTCACCCGCTGCGCCCCTCAGCAGTGTATTTCATCAGTCTGCCTGTTCTGCTCCCTGCTCTGTCTCTGGGGAATCTTCTCACCCTCTCGCACCTCTGGCTTGTACCCTGGTTCTTGTATGAATATATCCTTAAAAAAAAAGACTAAAAAAAATCTGCTTCTTGCTAGAACTCGGGGTCGGGGAGCAGAGGTTGGCAAAGGCCAGGTCTAGACGCTGTGGCCCTGTGCCCTGCGGGGAACAGCGTGGCTTCTGGAAGTGGTGGGTTCGCGTGAGCAGTGGGGTCCGCTGCTGCTCAGGCTGCAGGTTCCCCCCGCCAGGCCAACCCTGATCACTCACGCACAGCATCCGCTGAGGACCAGGTCTCCCCTGAGCAGCCTGGGGCGCGGCCAGGGCCCCGAGGCTCAGAGCCTGTGCTCGGGGGGGGGTCAGGCAAAGGGGCCCCAGCGCCGCGTGTCCCAAGCCCGGAGGGCGGAGGGTGTCATCCTCTCGGGGGACAGGACGCCCAGGGCAGGTTCCCTTATTCCCGCCCCCTGGGGACCTGACCCAGCAGCGGCCAGGAGAGGCCATGCTGCTCCTCCTGCGACCAGCAGTGCTCCCGGCTGCCGCACAGAGAGGTCGCGGCCTCTCCCGTGTTGGGGGTGCACTCGCGGGCCCGTTCCCGTCTTTCTACACAACCTCCACGGCCGCCTCGGGGGAGTCCGCCCTCTGCAGCCGCCTGTGTCCAAACCCGCCTCAGCCTCAGGGGCTGCAAACCCCACGGAGTCTCCGCATTCACTCTCGCCTCTGAGAACCCACGATGCCCCCACCAGCCTGGGATGCTGCGCGTCACGGGCCAGGGCTGCGGCCCCGCACTGGTTCCTCCCCTTCCTTCAACCTCCCCCACACCCAGGGAAGAGCTTGAGCATCAATCAGACCATCCGCTCGCTGGCCTCACGCCTTCCCGTGGCCCTACTGGGCTTGGCACTTCCCCAAAACCCCTTTGCACAGGCTTCCCTGCCCCTCTGGCCTCAGCCCTGCCCCCACCCGCCTCCCCTCCCTGTCCAGCCCTGCTGGGTGAGCTGCCCTTCTTTCTTGTTTTTAATTTTATGTATATTTACATCATTTTTCATTTTTGCCAATGTATGCATTTTCACCTTGGTTATGGTCCCCGTACAATTCCCACCCCCTTGTTTGATCCTACTCCCTCCTCCCCGACACGGTAGTGTGTCTCTGGCTTGTAGATGCTGTTGATTGTGATTTTTACTTTATTATAATTAGTATTTTCCTGGTCCCTTATTTAGGTTTTCTAAATCCCTGCTATGAGTAGGACCGTCTGGTATTTTTCTTTTTCTTTCTGGCTTATTTTGCCCAAGCATGACCCCTTCCAGCTTCATCCATATTGCTGCAAATGGCATGAGTTTATCATTTTTGATTGCGGAGTCATATTCCATTGTGTATATGCACCACATCTTCTTGATCCTGTCATCTATTTTGGGATATTTGGGTGTTCTTCTTTCTGCCACATCCTGTTGCCACCTGGGGCATTTGCTCTTGTTCTTGCAGAATCCCCAGATGCGCCTACCACTCTCTGACCTTGCTTTCCTCCAACCCACATGTCATTTCTGACCGCCTTGCAGGCAGGTGCTGCACATTTCTTCCTGAACCACATCCTCTCCTCCCTTCACAGTGTCATCTGCACCTAAATCATACTAACATGTTTTCAGAATTTCATGCTAGAATGGAATTCCCTCCTGTGTCTTGAGCTCCTGACACAGTTTTGCTTATGGCAAGAATGCTGTTGACTGACCCAAACCAGTCCTAAAACAAGAACATTCTAAAGAACAGTACATGTTGACTGTCCCCTTGCCTTTTTACATGGGAACATTTTCTCACTCTCCATCAGGAAATTGATTCAAACACTTTGACTAGGGAAACTTTGTTTCAAGTAATATTTCAAAGTACTTCAAATGACAAATGTCACGTGCGATGTCATAAAGGTTTACATCATTAGCCACATTGAATTTGTTTGCTGTATTTTAACCTGTTGGCTTAATTTTAGAAGTGCCTCACAGTCCAAATCAGTGTCAATACCTATGTCTAAACATACAAGGAATGCACATGGGGAAAGAAGAAGCAAAACTATCACTATTTGCAGACAATACGATAATATACACTGAGAACCCTAAAAACGCCACAGAAAAAACTACTCAAAATAATCAACCAGTTCAGTAAAGTAGTAGGATTCAAAATCAACACGCAAAAATAAGTAGCCTTCCTATGCACAATCAGTCTGCAGAAGAAATCAAGAAAACCATCCCTTATATAACTGAAACCAAAAAAATCAAATACTTGGGAATTAACCTAGTGAAAGAGGTGAATGGAGTGCAGCACTGTGAAGCTGTCCGCAGCCTTTGCAGTGCCTGTATGATCCCTGCCAGCCTCAGAGCTTCCCCCATGGCGTGGCAGACCTCTCCTGTCTCGCCCGCTGCTTCCCTCAGTGGTGTATTTCTTCAGTCTGCTTGTTCTTCTCCCCACTCTGTCTCTGGTGAATCCTCTCACCCTCCCTTGCCTCAGGCCTGTACCCCAGTTCTTGTAAGCATAAATAAATCTTTAAAAAAAGAAAAAAAAAACATTATTGAATTTGCTAGCATAGTCAGTCATAGTGCTCTCATGACCTTTGTATTTCTCGACTTCAGAACCTCCATAGACTTGAAGACCCCCGGAGACCTCCGCAGAGACCCCGCTGCTCACCTGCCTCAGGCCCTGCCTCTGGCAACTCCTGCGAAGAGAACCTGGGCCTCAGCCCAGTCTCTGCTGGCTGTTTGCAGTTGGCGGGCGCCAACACCCCAAGAGCTGGAACACTGGTGTTGTTGGCAACACCCGCGGAGCCGGGTGCTCACCTGCCTGCTCCCTGGGGGCTGGCGCCTGTGTCTGGCCTCCTTGAGAACTCTCGATGGCGCAGCATGTCTGGCCCGGCATCTGGTGCGGTCCAGCCTGGTCTGCGGACTGTTGCTGTGGGCTCTGCCCATGCGGGCTACCTCCCCGGGACGTGGGGATTTGGTCTTGATCCATGGGTTCGCCCGTGCTGACCCCCCAACTGTCCTCTGCCCATGACCATGGACCCCTGGGTGCTGCCAGCCACAGCCCACAGGCCCAAGTAACAGGGCGTCCCCTGTGTCCCTGAGGTGCAGGACACCAGGGACTGAAGGGGAACGGGGCCAGTGGACCCGCATCCCTGGAGGGTCGTGTGCCGGCCGGAATAGAGGGGCGGGGGAATCTGCTTCATTGACAGGCCCGTGGGGGCAAGGCCCTCCCCTCATTGTCTGCAGAAACTCCAGAATCACCATCAGTTTCTGGGGCTGCAGCTTCCGGGACTGCTTGTCAGGGTGGGTCCCTCATGCTGGCTCAGGCCTCTGCCTTCCCTCCTGTGCCTGCAGGGGAGGGTCCCGGCGTGCCCACCCACGAGCTCGTTTGTTGTGTGTGACCCTGATCTGGAGGGCCTGTGAGGACTCGGGGAGACCACACCCAGGAGAGGGCCCCCCACTCTCTGGTGTCAGAGCCCGAGGCACACCCACCGAGAGGATACACCGGACAGCGCTGCTGCGGGCCTGACCCCCACTGTAAGGTCACCACCCGCCTCTGTCAGACACGCCCATTCACATGTTGTTCCCTTTCCAGGTGCTGAGGTAAACAGCCTTTTGGAAAAAAAAAAATAATTCTGAGACACGAATAAACCCGTGTCAGAATACCCAGGTGCTTCCCCGGCTCGCTCCTGGGGGTTTCTTGGTTGTCCTCCTTCCCCCCCTGACTCCACACCCCATCACCCCGCCAGGACCAGGGGTCCCAGAGGGTGTTGGTGACTTTCCTGATTCCTGTGGACGGGCTTATCCTGGCTCTGACACTGGGGCCACCTGGTCCCCGCGGGGTCAGGGG